TTGTTGAATTATTTTGTGTCAAATTTCAGCCATGAGGTGCATTGCAGCTGAAGGTTGCAAAAGTTATTTTTGCATTTGCTGACATGAGTTCATTTTGTTTCAGGTCCTCCAATTCCTGTTGGAGTAGATGTTCAGGTTGAAAGTCTGGATACCATCTCTGAAGTAGATATGGTAAGTGTGAAACAGCATTAAAATAATAATACAGGTTACAACATAATGGCATTTACTAGTGCTTTACTTGATCATTTTTGTTTGCAGATACAATGCAGATTTCAGTTAAAAATATTGTAAGAATTTTATGACTCTACATCAACATTAATGTGGCAAGATTATAAAACAACATTTATTGTTAAAGATGGTAGGTCCTAACCTTCCTAACAATGTCTAGTCATCTTTATGAATTGAGACGTTTCCCCTCTAATCTTCAGATTTTTATAAAAGCTTGAACCTCAAAGAGGTTAAATCATCAATTTTTCACCAAACAGAATATTTATTTATTTATTTTCCAGAACTTTGTTTCTCTACCATAAATCAAGTCACAATCCAGATTTATCCTCTGACCTTTTGCAGGGGCCAGTCACAAAGAGCATTTTACTGCACAACCACTACTTTGATTTATTAAGTACATTTAGCTGGTAATATGGTTGTGCTTAAGTAGCATTTTGAATGCAAGAATGGAGTATTTTTATATTGTTGTACTTTTACTTACATAAAGTAAGTGAGTGCTTCTTCCGCCATTGTAAAACACACTGTTTGTTTGGCAGGACTTTACCATGACACTGTACCTACGCCACTACTGGAAGGACGAGCGGCTGTCATTCCCAAGCACCAACAACCAAAGCATGACCTTCGACAGTCGCCTAGTGAAGAAGATTTGGGTTCCTGACATTTTCTTTGTCCACTCCAAGCGCTCGTTCATCCATGACACCACCACAGATAACGTCATGCTGAGGGTTTATCCTGATGGCAATGTGCTCTACAGTCTCCGGTACAGACCACAGCAGCAGCCTATTTTGTTTCAATTTAGTCAGTAAGAACTAAGCTGCACTAGGAGACCCAGGTCCTTTTTGTAATTCTGAAAAAGTGCTTCACGTGTTTGAAAAAAGACTACTGGTCACTAATCACTGACAAAGGATATAGCCGAAGAGTTTATTTTCTTGCTTTCACAGAAAGCATCACAAAAAAAAAAAAAAAAAAAATTCCAACCCAGACATAAAAAATTCAGCATTTTCACAGTTGGAAACCAAAAATATAGAAACAAAAACAACAACATGAGAAGAGCAAAGAACAGACATCAGAAGATCTCAGGCTTGCTACTGATGTGCAGCACAGGCAAGAGATTCAGAGACAGGAAATGACAGCAAAATGCCTACACACACACACACACACACACACACACACACATACACCACATAGCATGAATTTAACTTTTATCTTGCTGTTTCTTTAGAAGTTGAAT